ACCCGCCACCTTAGGTGTACGTGGCTGGCGCCTTAGCCGGTTGAGCTATAGGCGCCGAGCCGGAAAGCAAACTCTTAAATTTCAATTCAAATTATATGCCATAATAGGATAATGTTATGCATCTACATAGATTATCTGCTTACATCCCATTCTAATACTCTAAATCCAGTAATGACAATGGATAAATAATTTTAATAATATTTATGATTTCCTATATTGAAATAAGTTAGAAATTTATTGTTTGTACCCTGACATTAAAGGTCCCCTTCTATAAGCTATGATTCTCTTAATAGGCAGTTGGGTTGATTTCATGACCCCATTGTCTGTGTGAACATAGACACTGAAATCAGTTAGAGACCACAAGGCAGAATAAATCTTTAACCTTGCTGGGTGGCACCTGTAGCTCAAGGAGTAGGGTGTCAGCCCTATATACCAGAGGTGATGGGTTCAAACCTTAGCCCTGGCCATTAAAAAAAAAAAAAAGTTCTGAGCAGTAAATCTTTAACTTTGGCATTAGTGACCAGCAATATAAAATTGCAAGTTTTGATCCACTGGTGACAATAACTCCTTTAATATGAATCTAACTCAGTGGCCATCACTGTGAAATTGTTTATAATTTCTATTTTTTAGGAAAAAGAGGTCAAAAAAATGGAAGACCAAACAATATTCAGGAAACTTTTTGCCTCAACTTCAGGGGTAAAGATCAGCTATAAATAACAATGTATTCTAAGAATATTTTAACTTTTATAACTAGTTAAAATATTATTTAAATTAAATTATGATCTAATGATTCAAAATGGTTAGTGGGGAAAGGCAATTTCATTTGGACTATGCAACGTTCTTAATGTAAAGAAAACAAAATTAAAACAGCAATTTATATTTAAATTTTTCCATACCTGTGGCTGGTTATTTTCCCTTCCTTCAAGACTTTCTTGCTCTTCCTCTGATGTAACTTCTAAGTCATGTTCTGCTGACAAATCCATATTTTGAGTTAAAGTGAATGACAGAACAGTTAGATGAAAGCCATAGTTATCATAAAAATAAAAATTGACATTTATTTTATAAATTGAGAGTTTAAATGAAGCTTAATCTTAAGTGAAATATTTCCTTCTTTAAGAAATACTTCTAATCATCCAAAAAGTCAACAAACCACTTGGGGAGACACAAGACATCACCACCAGAAAAGAAACCTTAAAATATAGTAGAAACATATGAAGTAATACTGTATACTGTTCTCTACTTCATAACAATACCTTTTTAACAACAGGCTAAGCATGCTGTTCATTAATGCTTTGCAAATGAACTGCTACCATTTATACCTTTATCAGTGTACATTCTACTCTTTACATCTGAAATGTTTTTCTCCATTATTCTGACAACTTCTTTCCAACTTTTAAGACTCAGACTGCTATATGAGTCTTTGATTCTGGCTCTTTCCCCAGATAAACAGGCATCTCCTTTCTGGGGCAGTCTCAGTGCTTTACCAGTTCCTCTGCTAACCTACTTCCACCTGAACTGTAAATTATTTCTTTACGAGTCTATCCCCTTTCTTCCTAGATTGTAGAGGTCAGTCTTTTAAAATCATCTGCATATAATCATCACTTATTTTATTCAATTTTTTCAATTTTTTATAACTTTTATAAAAACTTTTTTATAATTTTTTCATTTTTTTATTCAATTATTTACTTAGGTTCTGCTAAGAGCTAGGCACTGGGATTTAAACTAAGAAAGTAAATAAGAGCTGTCAGACCAGCTGTTCTAGAGACAATGCCTAAGCTGAGACTTAAGGAGTGAGGTCAGCCAGATTAAAAGGGGTAGAGGACAGGAAAGCAAGGTGGCAGCAAGAGAAGAAGAGAAGCATGAAATGCTATACGTATTGGTCTAAAATACAGAGACAGGTGAGGAGGACATCAGCAGTAGTTCAGTGATGCCAGAGAAAAGGGCAGACAGGGAGGGGAAAGGACTAAACAGAGAGAGTTGGACAGAAGTCAGATTATGTGTTTTAAGATGCTTGGATGTAAGTGTTTTAATCAAGAGTGGTTCGTGGTCCTACTTATACTGGAGACAGACCACTCCAAGTGCTGTGGGGAGGACGAAATTCAGAGGACGAATTTCAGAGGAGCTAAATTAGAATGCAGTATTGCAAAGTTAAGATGATGCAAATCTGAACTGAAGAAATGTTCCCAGAAATATTTAGGATATAAAATATCAGTGGTCAGTATAGAATGAGTTTTTATTAAATATTGAATGAATAAATGTACAAATCTAGTTCTTTTTAAGAAAAGTATCAAACGAGAAGTGAATTATCTCCATGAACTGGATAAGCTTTTCATGTTTACTTTGTAATTCTCCTGTTTCATGTCTTCCTGTCTTGAAGGAACTAATTTAAGTGTTTTGTTTTAAAAGTCCTGCTTCATAGATCTACTAAGCTTATGAATAAGAGCAAACAAGTCAGTGACTGTGATACAGATGGGTATTTATCATCAACTTTCAAATTCCCAGATCTTTAACAAGTCTTATTTCCAAAGATCAAACCCATAGAATCACACTAAGAAAAATCTGAATAGGCTCGGCGCCTGTGGCTCAAGTGGCTAAGGCGCCAGCCACATAAACCTAAGGTGGCGGGTTCGAATCCAGCCCAGGCCCGCCAAAAAACAACAATGACAGATGCAACCAAAAAAAAAAATAGCTGGGCATTGTGGTGGGCGGTCCCATGGTCCCAGCTACTTGGGAGGCTGAGGCAGGAGACTCACTTGAGCCCAGGAGTTGGAGGTTGCTATGAGCTGTGATGCAATAGCATTCTACCCAGGGCAACAGCTTGAGACTCTGTCTCAAAAAATAAAAAAATAAAAAAAAAAATAAACCAGAGCTACTTGTGTCAATATGGATAGATCCCAAAAATATTATGCTAAACAAATAAACAATAGTTACAGAATGATATAATATACAGTGTACAACTATTTATATAAAATTTTAGAATGTCACAACAAATTCTATATATTATTTATGACATATACATGCTAAAATGTGTTACAAGTGCTTGGGAATAATAAACACCTATGATAATTGGGAGTGTTGGTTACCTCTATTCAATAATAAATTTTAATAAAATAAAAGGCTCCTAAGGTCAATAGTTGCAGAATCACTACTGCAACTCCTAAAAGGCTCCTAAGGTCAATAGTTGCAGAATGTCTACTAAATAGTAATTAAGGCATAATTAATTCCTTTCTACATTTTTAATAATCAAAGATATGCCCCACATATATAACACACAGTCTGCTAATCAGAATATCTGATTGGCTTAACATCATCAGTGTAAGAACACTAAGAAGAAATAATAAAAGTTAAAAAAGAATTGACACATTAATAGCTAGTGAACTTTTCCTTTAGGTAATGATCAGAATGCCAACAAGTATTTGAAACATTGGAAAAATTGTAGAATCTCATAATTCACCTCTGTGAATCCCTAACAAGTAAAGAGATTCCGAGTTGGGAACTTTACAGAACATAAAAGTAGAAGCATCTGACTTAAAGATGCTTTAAGAGTTTTCTTTTTTTTTTTTTTTTTTGAGACAGAGTCTCAAGCTGTCACCCTTGGAGAGTGCCATGGCATCATAGCTCACAGCAACCTCCAATTCAGTCTCAAGTGATACTCTTGCTTCAGTTTTTCTATTTTTAGTAGAGAAGGGGTCTCGCTTTTGCTCTAGCTGGTCTCGAACCTGTGAGCTCAAGCAATCCACCCACCCAGCCTCCCAGAATGCTAGGATAACAGGCATGAGCCACCACGCCCAGACAAGAGTTTACATTTTTAAACCCTCTTGCTCAGGCTTGTAAATATCCTTCCTTCTTTAAAACATGGACACCAAAAATAACATCTGTATTATTTATGTCAAATCCTTCCATTGACTTGGGAAAAAACACTGATTAAAGAAAAGAGTTGGAAATAAGAAGACTGTGAGCATTTCCAATATTTTAATGCACTTCTTTCCAGAGTTAAATCTGTATTGCAAAATTTACCTGATCTATATGTTTGTATGTCCTTCACTCCTACTGCTTTATTCGGAACACAATCTTTCATTTCAGTGGTAGGCTAAACGGGTTTTGAAACAAAATTAATAAATAATGTAGATTCCATACAATGTGTAGTTAATAATTCAAGACAAAAAGATAAAAGTTATTACCTTCAAGTGAGGATATCTCTTAGGAGACTCTAAAATGTAAAAGGGACATACAATCAGTCATAGGTAAGTATGACCAAGCCAACTATACGTTCATGCAGAGTTAGTATCAAGCTGAATCCTGATGCTTGTCTATGAAAATGATTATTTTAGGTTTTGGGGTGGTTCATTGATTTTTTTGGTTAGGACGCAACATGACAGAAATATAAGGGAGAAAATATAGGAATATAGGTTAATAAAACATGCAGTTATGATTTCAAAAGTGAGATGTTTCAGACATCACTAAAATAGAAAAGTGCACATCATATACCAATGTGAACATGCTGATTGATGAGGAGAAAAATGATCTTAAAGCAAAGGAGCAAATTATGGTCCTGACAGGATAAATATCAAAGCTGATGGCAGAATGCTGCATAATATCTTTAATGCAACACATCAGAATCATTTAAATACCATTATGCTAAGAATATTTATCATATTATTCAATTTGTCCAGTAATTTAGGAAGTACATTTGTTGTGATGACAATTCATTTGAATGTATAATTCATTTCTCATCAGATAAATGTTCTGAATTGATCAGCTTAGATATATACTTGTAGAATAATAGTTAATGAAAATATTCATCTTTTTCCATACCCATGTGGGTTACTGGTATGTCTACATTTCTTGCATCCTCTAGTTTAGCCATCTTAAAGTTTCTTGATCCACTCATGCAAGAAGGTATATAAAACACATCTAAGAAATAATGTATAAGTTTTTAATATTGAAATATTTGTCAAAAAGGAAAAAATTAAATTTTCACAAAATTATTAGATATTAATATCTTATATTTCCAAATCATTGCAATATTTATTGAAAATAACAATTTTAGCATTCAAAGAATGAACTCTATAAGTTTTTTGTTTCTAAAATTAGTTTGGTTTTCTATATCAACATTAGTCTTGAATGGATTTTTATGAAACAGTTATTAAAAAATCAGTAATCTTAAAAACCAATCAATACATCTATATTCAGATTAATCTCAAGTGATTAACATCAATACAACATCATACAGCATAACCTCTATAGCTGACCACCTCCTCACATTGACCTAATTTTCATAGACTGGGCAGGCACCACCACATGTACTTATCAGAGCATTAGGCCTAGTTCTTTATGTTGACCACCTCCGTATGTTGACCAGTTTGTTATAGGCCCTTGGGTGGTCAACTTACTATCTTTGATACCTGACAGTAATGGAGAGCAGAAATGTGCTACTGTGGTTTACCCCAATTCTAGCATTTCCCCCTGTTACTAATCTCTGAGCATCTCTCATGTTCCGTGTGAGTATAAGTATATTGAAGCCACCTGAAGTGAATTCTCATTCAAGTTTTCTCATCATTAACTACATAATTACCTAGCTGACTTCCTTCTTTCCTCCCTCCTTCCTCATTCACAATCTTTCTTCCTCTGCAAAATTAATCTTAGTGTCTGTGGTCTTGATTCTTCTTCTACACTCTTCAAATAAATTGGTCCCACCAACCCTGTCCTCTTTATTTAGCAATAATATCTTATATCTATAATTTTGATTTCTTCATCTCTTTGCTCCTTCTACTCTGGCTAGAAACATGCTCAGAAATAAAAGCAAAATAATGCTTTCCCTTGGTCCTGCTATGTTTGAACTGTTATCCAATGGTGATTCTTCCAGATGTCTCCATACAGAAGTCATCCTACTCAGGATGGTCCAAGGACCAATATCATCAGCATCACCTAAAAACATACTAGATATACAGCATCCCATGCCTGCTGAATCACAATGTGTATTTTTAACAAGGTCCCCAGCTGATACCTTAACATTTGAGAAGCTCTGGTCTATACTGAATATGCTCCCACTTAGCCTGAACTTAGCCTTTTGGAATCTAGTCTCAAGTTCATCCCTACCACACACTCCCCCCCACCAATTCAAACTGCATTACAGATTATAACGTTTCTAATGGACTTTTTATCAAGCAATAGCTTCCCTGATCTCTCCACCACTAACCCTACTTTCTACTTTCAATGCCCTTATTTTGGTGTATATGATACTATCCTACGAAGTACATCATTTTATATGCCATTAAATTATATCCACATATGGCTGACCATATATATTTATCTTCCTCTGTGGCAGACAGAAGATATACCTCTGCATGATCAGGGACTTCCATCCTTCCCAACAGTGAGGAAGACAGGAAATGTGAGGAAATTTTCCTTTCCTTCTCTGACACATTTTTTGGTACTGGAAGCTCACTTTATACTCTTCCGACCTTTCTAATGCCCTGTTCTTCCTTTCATTAAGGAGCTTTTTTATTTGACCACCCTCCATTATATACACCTGCTCCTTTTCCTGTCATACATTCCCTATACTCTCTGCCTTCCTCATTCTTCATTCCCTCTTTTACTCCTTTCCTCTTCTTGATTTCCTAACTTTCCTCAGGTCTTAGAGCATCTTGAAATAGAATGAATTCAGGTCCTTTAGTGGCACTCTCAGTTTACTCTGCTACTGACACCTGATAAAACATACCGACTTACACGATCTTACTTCTCTTCTATTTTCTTATACATTTAATAGGTGATTTTTCTCTGGCTATTAGAATAAATCAGTGCTTTTGTTTTGTTCTGTTTTTTGAGACAGAGTCAGACTAGCTTATAGCAACCTCAAACTCCTAGATTGAAGCCATCCTTCTGCCTCAACCTCTCAAAATGCTAGGATTATAGGTATGAGCCACCATGCCTAGCCAATGCTCATGTTTTTAAATAAACAGTCTATTGAAAGACTTTTAGGCTCGGCGCCTATAGCTCAACCGGCTAAGGCGCCAGCCACGTACACCTAAGGTGGCGGGTTCGAATCCCCAGCCCGGACCCGCCAAACAACAATGACAGCTGCAACCAAAAAATAGCCGGGCGTTGTGGCGGGCGCCTGTGGTCCCAGCTACTTGGGAGGCGGAGGCAAGAGACTCGCTTGAGCCCAGGAGTTGGAGGTTGCTGTGAGCTGTAATGCCACGGCACTCTACCCAGAGGGACAGCTTGAGGCTCTGTCTCAAAAAAAAAAAAAAAAAGAAAAACTTTTAAAAATAAAATATAGTTCTTACCTTCTACTTGGTCATTTACTGTATTTTCTTTTTCATCTGCAGCCCCAGACAAATGATCAACATAATTCTGCGGAAGAGTCTCAGAAATACTCTGTTAAAATTAGTATCAAAATGACTTTCAATTAAAAAAGTAAAAATGAATTGCTAAAGACTTCCCAATCACTTTCAAAAATAATCTAAAATTCCTATTTTAAAAGCAATCAAACTTAAAAACAAGATCAGCATGCACTGAAAACTAAAACATTTGCATAGAGAACCTTATAGATGCTCTCTGGACCTTGTCTTCTATCTCCCCATGGCCACTGACTCTGTAAACCCAGCAAGAAAGGCCAAAGGAAACATACTTATAAATGTGTATATTTCAAAAAGAAACCAACTTCAAAATAACTAGCACACTTTGTATTCCCCATCAAATATAAGAGAACATTTTAAAAAAATACACTTCCATTAAACATTTAAAATACTTTTAATTATAGAAAAGTTTTTAGTGCTAAAATAAGATACCTATCATGATAAGAAACTTTGAAGCATGCTGCGTACAAACAGAACATTGGAGAAGCTGCTTCATTTAGGTAAACAGGGCTTAGAATAACCTAAACATTTTTTGAGATAACTTTTACCAATAGGAAAAATGGCTGAATAAAATGACAAGAGTAACAAGAAAAACTCTGTTTCATGTCATGTTTAAATAAAAGTAAGCAAATGTTAAATATAGTATGCAACTCTCTACTAGTTGAGAAATAACTTCAAAAAAATAACAAGATTGGCCAAGTGCAGTGACTCACACCCACAATATATTACCACTTTGGAAGGCCAAGGTGAAGGGATCACTTGAGGCCAAGAGTTCAAGACCAGCCCGGTAAGAAAGCAAGAGCTCCATCTTTACAAAAATAAAAATAAAAAAATTAACCTGGCTTGGTAGCACACACCTATAGTACCACCTAAGCAGGAGGTGGAGGTGGGATAATTGCCTATGCCCAGGAGTTTGAGGTTACAGTGAACTACCACTATACTCCAGAAATGACAGACTGAAACTGTCTCTAAAAAAATTTTAATTAAAATCACTATATATATACATAGCAATGGAAAAACAAGAACATTTATTTGTGAAATATCTAAAATGTGCCAGGCACTAATTTGCACATTTTTCTTTTCTACACGTTATAAGAATAAAAGTGATTATGAAAGTGGTTACCCTAATTTCTGGGCTTGGTCATTCCAGGATGTTAAGAGTGAAATGAGGAATAGATGTGATCCATTGTTCTCTCTGTCCAGAATGTCCTCTTCCTAGACTCTCACAAAGCTAATTCATTCTCATCCTTCAGTTAACAACTTAAATTTTACCCTCAGAAACATCTTCTGACTACAATTCCACTCCCACTCCCATCCCCAGCCTAACTACAATCTTCTTCAATATTCTCTAACCTAACATTCTGTTTAATTTATATGTGGCATTTATAGTGACTTAGAGGCTTTTGTTGTTTATTTGTTTTTCTGTTCCTACTACTATAACATAAGCCTTCATATGGTATATTTAGTCTCTAATGGCCTAGCACGTAATTGATATTTAATAAGGGTCAAAACAAACCTCATTAGGAAGGCTTCCAGGCCAAATCACTACATTCTTACAGGATATCTCCAGTAATAGCTTGCTGAAACCTAACATACCCCAAATTAGAAATCCAAGTGCCCATTCTAACTTTCCTAACTTTCCCATTCTTTCCTTGACACTACTACCTTCAGGTTTT